GGCGGGGGGGAGAGAGAATAATCTTTTAATCAACACTTGAGTGAGCATATTTTCCCCAGAAGAAGACAATTCAGATTTCTTCCGAAGCTTTCTTGGGAAGAAAGGAAGTTACAGTGCATGGAAAAGAGCAAAACTTCTCTTGTTTAAAAGTTATTTACTTATTTTTTTAAAGAGCAAAACTTTTTAAAATCTTTCGTAGCTATTGTTCTCTTTTCCTAGGTTTCCATCATCTCTCCCTTCTCTTGATCCTTGTCTTAATCGAGTAGTTGTCAAAGAGAGCCTCAAGCAATCCATCTTCCCTAAACTTCTCTTCATTAGATCACTTGTGTTCATAATTGGTAGAAAGCATTCTGACCTTGGCAGGCTTACAAAACTTGGAAAGCTGCCAAGTCAGGTTGGTCCAATTTCCTCCATACTTAATATTATCTCCTAATCTGAGAGACTGATGTGGATTTAATATATTACTTCTTTGCCAAGTTATTTATAAGTCAAATAATAAATGAGAATGCTTTCTGTGCATGTAAGACATCAAATAATTCTCACAAGGTTTTAGCAATGTATAGCCATTAATCTTCATTTAAGTATATTCCCGCCAGACAGATAGGAATTTATTATTAACCTTAATTTGCAAAACTAGACACAGATATTCAAACATAAGTTATACGTCATATACCAGGCTTTCCTTGTATTTTGGAGACGCACAACAAATAATTGTGAGCTAAAAACTCCTTCAGCTTAAGCCAAATACCATCACCGAGACACTGTATTATTTTAAGAATATCTCTCTGCAGCCCAAATTCACTCCTTAGGAAAAACGCTGTTATCTGGTAGGACTTCAAGTTTGTATTGATTACCACTAAATGGGCATTAAGTAACAAAACCCCACATCAGGTAGTGTTAGATACTATGGGGTCTGAGGTGGAACTTGTGGTAGGAAATAAAAATGTTCTTTAAGAAACTGTACCTTCTTTGTGTTGTCAAAGGTGTTTAACTTTTAACTATAAAACTTACAAACAGAAAAATAGAAAGAATGACAATAACTACTGATCCAGCCACTAGTAGACAACTGTTAACATTTTTGCCACATTTTCTTCATCTAAAAATATACATATTGAGCTGAGCCATCTTAAGTTACATGGCAAATATGACATTTATCCTTTCATATTTTTTACCCCCATAAAACAGAAATAAATACCCAGTCAATATTAAAATTCCCCAAAGCATCCCTAAAGACATGGCATTTGGTTGTTACATCTCAACTGTCTTTTCCTCCAGACTTTTGGCTTCTTAAGGATTTTTAAAGGAACAGGTGATGTGGGGAACAAAGGTTATGAACAGTCCCTTTAAAAGTTAGGAAATGGGAACTATATTTAGAAAGTCTGTCCACAGTTTCTGTGGGAACAGACTACCCAGCATGGTGCTCTGCATGGGCTGGGTCCTAAGAAGCCAATGGTTTTCACTTGACATGAATATTCAAAATTCATCTGTGTGGTTTTTACCAAAGAAAGATGAACTACTTCATATTCTTACTATCTGTGTAAAAGCATACAATGAAACGATTTTACCGATATGAGGAGGTCTGAAATTAACACTGGACTAACCAGGATTTCTAAATGCCAACATGCAGGAGTGTGTGAAGTCCATGTGTGCGCGCACACTAAATGTAGGATAAAATAATATCTATAGGGTAATATTAATTTCTTGATCAAAAACTGACAAATAAGAATTTTGTGTCTTCAAGTTTAAGGAGGAAAGATTGCTTTTTCTTCATTTGACTGCAAGCCTTCATTCCTTGGGTGTAGGGCTTCAATTTATAATTCAAAATGTTCCTGTTTTCAGGATGATGGGACATTTGTGAGTCATTGCCATACATTCCTTTTAAAAAAAATATGTATTTTTTTTATTGATTTCAGAAAGGAAGGGAGAGGGAGAGAGAGATAGACACATCACTGATGAGAGAAAATCATTGATCGGCTTGCCTCCTGCACACCCCACACTGGGATCAAGCCCGCAACCCAGGCATGTGCCCTGACCGGGAATCAAACTGTGACCTCCTGGTACATAGGTTGATGCTCAACCAATGAGCCATGGCGGCCGGCCACCATACATTCCTTTTTTTACTGAGGGTCCTTGTTCAGGTGGGTCAGCCAGTAGCTTATCTGGGAGGGTTCACAAGTTCATTTCTTCATTCCCTCAAGGTCAGTGAGTGCTGGTTAGCACTGGAGAGCAATGACAGGGACGAGGGCGTGTGTCTGTGTATGTAAGAGCTGTGTGTGGCCTGGAGAGCAAGGAGGATGAACCGGGCAGCCCCTAGAGTCATGCGATTCTCATGAGAAGAGCAGGGGCCTCCCGGACCCTCAGGATTCTTCAGGGGAAGTCTGTGTCTCCTCTCCTAGCTCCTCCTTGAACCTGTCTTCCCTTTGACACATAGCAGAGGCTCTCAGGGTCCTCTAACTGCTGCCTAACACGCTACCACGCTCTAGGAATTCAGTGTGAAACAGAGGAAAGGGACAGGTCCAATTTACTGAGGGCTGACATTCAAGGTAGTCTCTGAAAGCCTTTTCTCAGCACCATCATTGTCCATCCCAAATACCTCAGAAGACCTCTATCTTTATCCTAGAAAGAACTGTTGTTTTTATTTTTTTAGGTCCAACCTTCTTTACCATTCAGAAACAAATAGTGTATTGGAAACAGAGATGTCATCTTGGTTCCATTTATCTCATGACACCCTTTTAAGAGACCCCCCAGGGGACACCTTCAAAGCCACTAACTAGGATCTATACCACCTCTTACAATGTTTTCTTCCATCTGCATGTGGCTGTGGCACCAGGCTATACTAACAATGAGGACTACAAGTGGAAAAAGTTAAGTGGTTGCTTTTATTAATGCCTGGATTTAAACTGCTGTGCTTGGATCCTTGTAGTAAGCTTATGTATATTTGGGCTAGTGCATGTGTGTGCATATACTATGAAATTATTAGTGAGAACAGTCTCACTACATTATGGGACTACAAAAGGAGTTTTTGCCATTTACCATTTTCATTGCAATTAAAAGGCCATGTTTACAAAGCCTAAAGAAGAGGGAAAGAATAGATACTCTGCTTTAACATAATTTCAAATCATTCTTCCCACAGAGATATTATAGCCTGGCCTGGTGTTTCTATTATTAGTTCTTTCTGACTCAAGCACCGGTTGTATAGTTCCTTACAGATGTCTATGACACCATTTTCAGTACTGGACAACCTTGTTTAACGTATTGGACAATACGTTGGGGGGACAGCTTCTGAAGTCTTTAACTGTATGCAGTAACACATGTTAACATGGTCATTTTGCTGTCAGCAACAGTTGAACATTATTATGCAAACATATGCCTGTTCAAAAAGGGGTTCTGAAAATCAGCGCGAGAGCTCTTGGCTCACTTCTACAGCCACATAAGTTTGTTTCCCATACCTCCGATCTTGGCATTGAAAGCAATTCCGACTGTGCAGTGAGAGTTGTTTGCTGCGGCTGCCACTTCTCCAGCACAGCGGGTCCCATGCCTGCAGGGAGAACACACACACTTTCTAAGTAAGACACTCCTTTCTCACAAAGTCCACACATCACAGCTACCACTCAGGCTCCAAAGTGCTGAGGAATGTACCAAGCTGGGGTTTTCCTGCAACTTCCTACCCAAGTAGTACTTAATCTGCCTGCAGAAAATGTTTAGCACTTAATTACATTCTGCTTTGGATTAGATTCCTGATATGTTTATTTTTGATATCTTGCTTTCCCAACTAGAAAATTTCCTTGAAGGCTAAAATCAGATTGTACGTTTCTTTGTATTCTCTAAAGTACCACTGTCAATAAGGTAACCCCCAGCCATATGTGGCCATTGGGTACTTGAAATGTCCCACGCCCACCGCCCTTCCCTCAGTTTGACTTTATCTTAATCTTTAATTTCATTTTAACTAGATTAAAAACTAGTCCTCAATTCAATTCTTAGAAAACTCAAGAATGTTAGTATGACTACTTTTTTAACTATAAATTTAAATACAGATCAAGTCTCTCCAATGGGAATTTATCACCTAAAATTGGATTGCTGAAAATACACACTGTATTTCAAAAAGATTTTATATGAAATACCAAGAACATGAAATATCCCATTAATTGTTTTATAACAATGACATGTTGAAATATCTTATTTAGGAAAATATATTATCAAAAGTTATTTCATCATTTTACTGCTTTAAAAAATGTGTCTTCTAGAAAAGTAACCTTTTTTCCCCCTGAAAGATAATCCCTGTTATTTCTCGCCACAATAACTTAGTTCCTTGGTCAAAAACATTCTTTTAGCTGAAAAGACTTCTAAGATCATCTTATCCAAGGATGAGAAAGAAGTCTCAAATGTAAAGGACAACCTGCTCGGAAAAGGTTGCCTAAAACCCTTTTAGGTGCTGAGAATTCCAAGGCGTAGCTGAGCCCAGAGAGAGAACACTAAGACTGATGACCAGCATCAGCTGTGGTTGCAGAAGAGGATGCGACAACCATTGTGGCCTATTTGTCATGGCTAATGAAGTCCCACGCCCACCGCCCTTCCCTAATTTTTAAAGGAGGAGGCCCTGATTTGTAAAGAAATCTGTCAAGAGCAGCCAAAGAGTGACTAAAACTCAGCCCCCCCAAATTCCATTTTAGCGCTTTTTATTTTACAGCACAGGTGCCTCAGACCACACTTCTCCAGGGATATGGGCTACAGTCTGTGCAACTATAAACAAGTTACTGCTTACATCTGCGAGGTACACAGTTTACACATATTCTGCTTTTCCCACTCAGTATGTCATGCGTATATTTCTATGTAAATATTAATGTATATATAACTTAAAAGGGTAGTCTTGTACTACATAATCTTTCGAACTATATCTATATAAGTATACACACACACCGCAGTCTCTTTAACAAGCCCTTTATTCCTCTACTCCTAGAAATTTGCCCAGTTTTTCAAGAATATTAACAAGGCTATAAAGAACAGTCTCAAGTATATATATCATTTTATACCCCATGACAAATTCTTAGAAGTGGAATTACTGGATCAAAGAATAGAGAATATATTGTCACACTGTTAACAGCAGATGAAAGTAATATAACCAAGCCTCATAAAAACTGCAAGAGTAACAATTATTACTACAAATCATCAAATTTTGTGCATGGCAAAAAATAAAAAAAGACCATAAGCTAAATTGAATGACAATATGAAGGATGGAGAAAAATATGGACAAACCCCTATGTACATAAATCCCTATTATTAGTTTTTCAATCTTTTTCATTCTTGCCGATCTAACATGAAAAATGGTATCTCGTTGCTTCCCTTTTTTATCCCCTATGACTAAAATTTTTTAAGTTATTATTATTTAATCCTCACCCAAAAATCTGTTTCTACTGATTTTTGGAAAGAGAGAGGATGAGAGAGATGGACAACCTGAGAATCGAACCCGAAACCTCCAACTGAGCCACCGACCAGGATGTACTTTATTGTGTCTGTTTTAATTACTGCAAGTGTTACTGCAATGTGGATTTTTGTTTTTAGTTTTGTTCTAGTTTACTCTGGCCCATGGGTTATTTTATTTAGAAGTATGATTTAAAATTTTCATATGTATATGGGTATTCAGTTATGTTTCTGATATCAGTCAACAGTTTGATTTCCTTGCTATTATAGTTTTTATGAAGCAACTGTTCTAATTTTATGAGATTCACACATGGCTAAGTATGCGATCAATTTTTATAAATGTCCCATATGCTTGAAAGGGTGTATATCCTTCAATCGTTCTTTGTAAATCCATTATGTCAAGCTTGTTCATTATATTGTGAATTTGTTAATGTTCTTTGCAGTACTATTGATTTTTATTCATTTAGGATGGAATTATTTAATCTATTAAGTAATAGATTAAATGACGTAAACCATTTATAAATATGTAGTAACACTTTATGGCTCTAAGATAAAAATATCTGATTAATATTTAAGGTTTTTTTACCCGTTTGCTCCTTTTACTTTCAAACATTCTGTGTTCAGATTAGTTATATCTCTTATAAATAGAGTATAATCTTTTTTTCAAGCTAGGCTAACTAACTTTGTCTTTAACCAAGAGTTACTCCACGTACAGTGACTGTGTCTATTAATATATCCATGTATATTTTCCGCCTTTACTATAGTTTGGATGTTATACATTCTATTATTTAGTGGTTATCCTAGATATTTGGTCATGGGCACCTAACATCACAGAGTCTAGAGTCAGCAATGCTTTTTTCAACTTTTCTCAAATAATATAGACTTCAGAATGTTTTAACTCTGGGGTTACCCATCTCTTGACACACGAGTCCCTGTGATTATAGGTATATTCTCTATTTTGTAACTCTAGAAATTACCCACTAAGATTACTACTTTAAAAAATCAGTTTGTTTAGATTTATAAATACATTTTTGCTCTCTTTCTTGTAGCTCATACTTCCTTATGAAATCATTGATTTCTTTCTGAAGAACATTCTATAAATGTAACTTCCCAAGAGTCTTTTGGTAGCCCAAAGTCTTTTGGTAGTCCTAGAAAATAACTTTATTTTATTGTCGTTTTTGAAAAATAACTTCTTTGGGTACAGAATTCTAGACTAACAGCACTTCAAAGATGCCATTCCACTGTCTCCTGGATCCCCCTGTTTCTGAGAAGAAATCATCAAGTTTATATATGATTTTTAAAAAATTCTTTCTTAGAATTCCTAAGCCTTAATTTAATGTTTAAATCTTTAGCAGTCTTAGCTAATAACTTTGAAGTCTGCTTTTACATTATTCTCTAGTTCTCCCCATCAGAATCCCAATTAAACATACATTAGATCTTTTCACCCTATCTTAATCTTTAATCTCATCTTTAGGCTTTCCTATCCTTCTCTCTTTGGACTGCATTCTGGTATTTTGCTCAGTTCTATATTTCACTGACCCTATATTCAGCCATGATTAATCTGCTATTTAATCCATTCACTGCATTACTCATTTCAATTATTACATATTTCTTTTCTTTCAGTTCTTTATCAAGTGCGTCTGGTTAATTCTGCCTTTTTCTTACAAAGTTTTTTTCAATATTCATGTCTTACTTTTTAAAAAGAGTTTTTTGTTTTGTTTTGTGCGTGTGTGTGTTTTTTTTTAGAAAGTGAGGGAGAGGGAGAGGGAGAGGGAGAGGGAGAGGGAGAAACATCAATGTGACATTGATAGGCTGCCTCCTACACCCCTCCTAATGGGAATCGAGCTTGAAACCCAGGCATGTGCTCTAACAGGGAATAGAACCGGCAACCTTTCAGTGCACAGGATGATGCCCGACCAACTGAAACACACCAGCCAGGGCTCAATATTCACTTCTGGATACCAATGAATTATCTCTAATAATTTGAAAATACATGAATTTAATTCTATTTATTTTTGTTGCTGGCTTGTTTTTTAAAATATATTTTTATTGATTTCAAAGAGTAAGGGAGAGGGAGAGAGACAGAAACATCAGTAATGAGAGAGAGTCATCTATCGGCTGCCTCCTGCACATGCCACACTGGGGATCGAGCTCATAACCCGGGCATGTGCCCTGACCGGAAATCGAACTGTGACCTCCTGGTTCATGGGTCAACACGCAACCACCGAGCCATGCCAGCTGGGTCTTGCTTGTTCTCATGGTGTTGTTTTCCCCAGGTAGTTGATAAACTGTCCATTTAGGAAGTCATGCTCTTTGGACTTTTACCTATGTAAACTCTTTGAGGCTGGTATGGAAAGCTCATTATTCTAAAGATTTAAAATTTGCTTCTAATACATTTCTGGACATACACCACCCAGAACCTGTTCAACCAAATTTGAAATTTGGCCCATACAAGTAATATGAATTACAAGTACAAATCCCATGACTACAGTTAGTAATTCTTAAAAAGTAGTTATTTATCCTCTTGTCCCATCTATTACCTATGGTGAAAAGTAGAATATGTCCTCTGTCTCTCTGTATAGTGTTCTTTCTTCTTCTTTTTAAAAAAATAAAGTTAATGTACTGAAGATGGTGTCTCAGGGATTTCGTTTTATGCAGAAGTCTAGTCTTCTCTCAACCCACTGGACCAAGGCCTTGTCTCCTGCCATCCCTGAGAATTTTTTAAATCCAGCTCCAGGCTGACTGAGATTGGTTGCTTACCCTGGAAAATGCCTACTGTCCATCCATTGGCCACCTAAGCTAATAGATTTGAGCTTTCTCAGAGAAATACTCTTGGTGTTCCATGAGCTCAAGCATGCACTAGAAGGCTCTTTAATATTTCCCGAAGAGTTTCAGATGTAGGGTAATAGAAGATATTTAGTTGACTACCTATTCTAGCATATTATTAAAAAATGGAAGAACTAACTTGTTCTATATTCCTAAAACACGATAAAGCCCTGCACATACATGTGCATCATTAATATACAGTGAATGCTCCTAAGTGAAGAACAGAGTGACTAAGTCCTTATAAAAACATTCCTTACAAAGATTTCTGTACATTGCTTCACATCCTAATGTATA